TTGTTGTTTGGCGGGTCCGGGCTGGGGATTCGAACCCGCCACCTTAGGTGTACGTGGCTGGCGCCTTAGCCGGTTGAGCTATAGGCGCTGAGCCAAATCTTCAGTCTTCACCTGAAAATTACCAGGCTTCAGGGCTGATGTGTGTTTGATGATGGAGGAAAGCATTTTTTTTTTTTTAGAGACATAGTCTTACTTTATCGCCCTCGGCAGAGTTCTGTAGCATCACAGTGCACAGCAGCCTCCAATTCCTGGGCTTAGGGGATTCTCTTGCCTCAGCCTCCCAGGTAGCTGGGACTACAGGTGCCCACTACAACGCCTGGATATTTTTTGATGCAGTTTGGCTGGGGCCAGGTTCTAACCTGCCACCCTTGATATATGGGGCCAGCACCCTACCCACTGAGCCACAGGCGCCATCCTGGAGGAAAGTATTATCGTGGAAGAATATATGTAATGTGCTAGAGCCAGGTGGCCATCCATGATTGTATGTATCCTCTCTTGGGGAATGCTCCTTTTCCCCTCCCACCCGCAACATTTCTCTGAGGGGCTTTGTCTTGGTCTAGTACAGCGGTTCTCAACCTGTGGGTCACAACCCACAGGAATTGTATTAAAGGGCCGCGGCATTAGAAAGGTTGAGAACCACTGGTCTAGCTGGAGGAGAAACTCCTCTTCAAGTGAGCTTTTTCTGTCTTTCTAAGTTGGTGTAACTTTGGTGAATTCATTGTCCCCTGGCTGGCTCTACCACAGGTTGACTATATGACCTCTTCTCGGATTCCTCATCTATAACAGTGGGGATGTTAACATTATCCCGTGGTTGGGATAACGATTAGGAGGGCCATGATGCTTCTGAAAGTCTTGCCTCACGGCTTTACACAGAGTAAAGGTCAGGAGGTGAGATAGATGAAGCTATTTTAGGATCTGAGCAAATCACGTCAAATGACACATAAATTCCTCCCTTCTAGGTCGCAGAGTCATCTGTCTAGTGGGAGCTGGAATCTCCACATGTAAGTACCCCCCTCCCCCAGCATCTTCCCTTAGGAATAGGGGACCCCTCGCAGGGGCCCAGGAGGAATCCTTTCTGGGCCCTGGCCTGGGAGAGTCGGAGGAATAAGGATGGGGCCAGCATCTCCGATCCACTGACCCCTGCCCCTCCGTCCTCAGCGGCGGGCCTCCCTGACTTCCGCTCTCCATCCACTGGCCTATACGCCAACCTGGAGAAGTACCATCTTCCCTACCCAGAGGCCATCTTCGAGATTGGCTATTTCAAGGTATGTGCTCTCCCAGGAAGGCGCGCCTGTGATAAGGGGCAGGAATTGGGGTCACTGGGCTCCAACCTTTGTCTCACCTGGGACTTCTGGCCCTCTGGCTCTCTCTCCAACAGAAACATCCGGAACCCTTCTTTGCCCTTGCCAGGCAATTCTATCCTGGGCAGTTCAAGGTGAGATATTTTTTGCAGAGGGGTAACAGGAAAGGCTGGGAGACAGCAGGCATGGGAAGCCCCCCCAACCAGGGCCCTTTAGATATTCAGTACATGGGTACTGGGCCCAGAATGCCCAGGTTGAACTTCTGGTCCTTTCTTTCTTTCTTTTTTTTTTTTTTTGAGACGGAGCCTCAAGCTATCCCCCTGGGTAGAGTGCCATGGCATCATGCTCACAGCAACCTCCAACTCCTGGGCTCAAGCGATTCTCCTGCCTCAGCCTCCCAAGTAGCTGGGACCACAGGCGCCCGCCACAACGCCTGGCCATTTTTGGTTGCAGCCATCATTGTTGTTTGGCGGCCCGGGCTGGGGATTCGAACCCGCCACCTTAGGTGTATGTGGCTGGCACCTTAACCGCTTGAGCCACAGGCGCCAAGCCCCGGTCCTTTATTTCTTAATCTTGTGACCTTGACCCTCAGTTTTACAGTCTGTAGAAAAATTAAGCTGATAATGGTGGTTGGGTGGCTTCAACACATTAATAATGCACGTCACAGCCCAGACTCTAGAGTCAGCCTGCCCGAGTGCGAACCCTAGTTTTTTTGTTTTTTCTTTTTTTTTTCCAAGACAGACTCTTACTTTGTCACCTTCAGTAGAGTGAGATAGCGTCATAGCTCACAGCAACTTCAAACTCTTGGGCTCAAGTGATTCTCTTCCCTCAGCCTCCCAAGTAGCTGGGACTACAGGTGCCCGCCACAATGCCCAGCTATTGTTTAGAGACAGAGTCTCGCTCTTCTCAGGCTGGTCTCGGACCTGTGAGCTCAGGCAATCTACCCGCCTCAGCCTCCCAGAGTGTTAGGATTACAGGCGTGAGCCATGATGCCTGGCCTAACTGAGTGCCTTTGACGACAGTCCACGGCCCCAGGCGTCAGTTTTCTCATCTGTGAAACGGGGATAATGATGGTCTGTCACGGGGCTGTTGTGTTAATTCCATGAAGTGAAGCAGGCACAGTGCCTAGAACAGATCCTGGCACGGAGCAGTTGGGGGCAAATGTTCTCTACTGTTACCATCATTGTTAGCATTCCTGCCCTGCAGCCGACCATCTGTCACTACTTCATCCGCCTGTTGAAGGAGAAAGGAATGCTCCTGCGCTGCTACACGCAGGTAGGCGGGCTGCGCCCCCTGCGGGAAGGGGCGGTACCCTGGGGGAGGGGCTGGGCTGTGAGTGGTGACTTAAATGGACGCAGGCCAGGGCTTGGCCCACTGCCTCTTTGCTGGGGAACTTGCAGTGAGTCCCTTCCTCTCCGCCTCAGTTTCCCCTTCTATGAACAGGGACTGGAATAGCTCTGCCCTCTCAGGTCTGTGGCCAGGTGGCAATGAACTCCTCTCAGGGCCATGGTGTGTATGCTGCAAAAGGACCCATCTGAGGGGACGCCATTTGTACCATAGACAACCCAGATTTCTTTTCTTTTTTTTCTTTCTTTTTTGAGACAGAATCTCAGTTTGTCACTCTTGGTGGATAGAGTGCAGTGGCGTCACAGCACACAGCAACCTCTAGCTCTTGGGCTTAGGTGATTGTCTTGTCTCAGACTCCTGAGTAGCTGGGACCACAGGCGCCTGCCACAACGCCGGACTATTTTTTTTTGTTGCGGTTTGGCCAAGGCCAGGTTTGAACCCACCACCCTCAGTATATGGGGCCGGCGCCTTACTCACTGAACCGCAGGCACCATCCAGATTTCTTTTCTTTTTTTTCAGACAGAGTTGTACTTTTATTACCCTTGGTAGAGTGCAGTGGTGTCATAGCTCACAGCAACTTCAAACTCTTGGGCTAGACTGTAATCCCCTCTAAATGCATGGCCAGTTTTTCTGTTTTTATTTATTTATTTACTTATCTATTTTTGAGATAGAGTCTCACTTTGTCACCCTCAGTAGAGTGTCATGGTGTCACAGCTCACAGCAACCTAACTTTTGGGCTTAAGTGATTCTCTTGCTTCAGCCTTCTGAGTTCTGAGACTACAGGTGCCCAGTGCAAATGCCCAGCTATTAGTTAGAGATGGGAGTCTCACTCTTGTTCAGGCTCGTCTCAAAATTGTGAGTTCCAGCGATCCACCCACCTTGGCCTCCCAGAGTGCTAGAATTACAGGCATAAGCCACCACGCCTGGCCCAGTTTTTTTTGTTTGTTTGTTTTCTTTCTTTTTTGAGACAGAGTCTCACTCTGTCACCCTGGGTAGAATGCTGTAGTGTTATAGTTCACAGCAACTTCAAACTCCTGGGCACATGTGATCTTCTTGCCTGAGCTTCCAAAGTAACTGGGACTAGGGTCCTCCCCCACCACACCCACTAGAATAGTTTTTCCTTTCTTTTTTTTTCTTTTTTTTTTTTTTTTGAGACAGGGCCCTGGGTAGAATACCATAGCATCACAGCTCACAGCAACTTCCAACTCCTGGGCTCAAGCGAGTTTTCAGCCTC